TGCTTTTTCAGAACGAACGCGGTCATTTTAATATGCGCATAATTGAATTGAATATTTACCGATATACAGTATTTTCGTTGACGTTTATAGTAAGATCAATTACGTTTCTATTTGATTTTAATATTTTTTCCCCTCAGTGTAGCGATAAAGCATACGACACTTTTAAAGAAATATATTTTTTTATAGAGGAAATGCATAAGAAAGAAAAAAGATGTACACTTAAAAAGCATTTTTACTTTTTCTTAAAAAAAAAAAATACTATATATATTTGAAGTGTACTATATTTTTTCAGACTTTTTTGAAAAGTACTATAAATTTCTTTGAAAACGTTGGCAACCCTAGCTGCAGCGCATAACATGAGTCTGCCACATATCGAATCTGTTTAATGGGCTTTTCATGCAAGCGATTATCCTGCGCAGCGCATGACAGGGCAAGACAGCGACGTCTGGAGAATTTTTATTTTTCGCAATGTTACATTTTTAAAGAGAGATGCCACTCTCATTGCTCTCATTAGTCTGTTCCAGTACCCATCAGATTTACAGGAATTACTGACAAGTCGTTCTTGTACATACATTGGGGTATATTTATAGTCGAAACAAAGTCGATTATAAAGTTAGTTGCCGCCATTTCATTGATAATTATGACGAAAAGCAGCAACTAACTTTAGTGCCTACTTCATTTAGGCTATGAATATGCATTCTTCAGTTATGTCTTCCTAACTAAATCTTGAAGTACTGGAACAGACTAACTGATTACACTGAACATCTAATAATGGAAATTATGCGCTCTTTGCGAAGTAGAATTACACGATTTTTGGTTGTATGAATTATATACATACATACATTTTATGTGCCAATAAGTTTAATTTCTTAAAAGTACTGCGGGTCATTTTTGTCTACAAGTTCCTTGCATAACATTATGCTATTATTTCTTAGTTTAGTTTTTATCAAAGAATGCGTTAAAAATTTGCATTCTGCATCCGCAGAGTTATGTGGTCTATACATAGTATAATGGAAAGTCGAGAATGTTTGTACGCGGTAATCTAGAAAACTACCGAACATGTGCCATTCGTTGGATTGCAAAATGAGATACCAAATTAAAGGGCCTGGTCTTCGCATGTACAAAAGCTTTCATTTTTTTAATAGGGTTGCCATCTATTTAAGAATTACTATCTTCTGTACATAGTATAAAGGAAAGTCGAGATATTTTGACCACTTCTTCTTCTTCTTATTTGGCACTACAACCGTTTGTCAGTTTGGGCCGAGACCAAAAAGCTTTTCCAATTGCTTCTCTCCTGCGCGAATTTGCGCCAGTTGGTTATCCCGAGCGCAGACAGGTCCTTCTGCACTTGGTCCTTCCAATGCGTTCGTGGGCGCCCTTGCTTTCGTTGTCCACCCATGGGTGCGGAGTCGAAGGATCTTTTCACCGGAAAGTCGTCATCCATGCGTACAACATGTCCAAGCCAACGCAATCGCTGTATTTTTATGCGCTTAACTATGTCCATGTCGTTAAAAAGCTCATACAGTTCCTCATTCCATCTTCTCCGATATCCGCCATCCACGAAAACAGGGCCGTAGATTTTGCGTAGAATAGTTCTCTCGAAAGCCCCCAAAGCCTTCTCATATTTTGACCACGCTAATCTCAAAAACCACTGAATGGGTTTATACGAGATTTTTTAAGTATAATCTGTATCGATAGGAATAATATCTTTAGTACTTTAAATTCCTATAGGGTTGCCACCAGTCTAAAAAATTATTAGATCTGTACTGTTCTTTGGATTACAAGATATAAGGTGTCAAATAAAAGGGCTCGGCCTTTTGGGTAGGGTTGCCACTTTTTAAAAATTTTAAGATCTTCACCGTTTGTTGGACTAAAAACTGAGGTACCAAATAAAAGGATATGGTTTTTGCATGAGCAATAAGTTTTTATTTTTTGATTGAGTGGGGTTACCACCTATTTAAAAATTATGTATCTATAATACGCGAGGGCATTTTTTGTTAATGACATTAGATTTGCACAGTTCAGTCAATTAAAAAAATGAGGTGTTGAAAGGAAAAGGCTTGACCTTACGATTTACAGTAAGGTTTTATTTTTGGAAGAGGGTTGCAACCTGTGTGAAAAATTAAAAAATGTGGGCTGTTCGTTAGATTACAGGAAATGAGGTATCATATGAAAGGGCTTGACCTCCAGATGCGCAATTATACATTATTTTTTAGTAGGGTTGCAACCTGTTTAGTTGTCAATCGTATCTTATTTAATATCTACGCATTCAGCGCGTGGCAAAGCCTTGCGAATTCGGAGCCGGCTAGTGAAATTATATAAAAAACAGAATTGGCGAGATGCATGAAGCTATTGTCATTCATTTTTAATAGAATATACTTTTTCCCAAAACATATCAATTTCCAGATTGCTGGACCACTTAGGCTCAGTAAATTCAAAACAAAACAAAAGAGGTAAAATTGGTAAATCTTCTTTAGAAACTATCTTAGTTATTAACTATTTGTAAAAAATTTATATCTGCACACTTGAAGTCAAATCCTAAATTTATTTGGTCCAAGAACTCTATGCAAAACTTTAATATATTGGTTTTAACTTCAAGAGTTTAAGAACAATTGACACTACTTTTCATAAACATTTCCGCTTTCATTCCAACAAAAACGTAGTGTGATTATTTCATTTTTACAATCAGTATTAATATTGTTACTGATCGCATCTTTTTAAATAAAGTTACTCAAAATTAAGAGATAATGTGCTTTGATAGTTGCATATAAGTATGGCAAACTAGAGCTTTCAGCTTGGAACTCTTTGTTAAGATTGTTAATTATGGAAGAAATATACGATAAAAATAAAAAATAGCATTTGGTTTTGCAACACATTCCTTCTGCCAGGGCTGCAGATCGCATATCGTTTACTTCATAAAAGCAGGAAGTAAAACAAAATTTCAAACTATCCCATTGCTCAACTATTCTTAACACAACGCTTTCTAGTGAAAGCCATCGTGTTTGAGATATGCCCAAGATTTTGTGGAGTTTTACCGAACAGTAGTCCTGAAATTCCTCCAGTTCACGTATCCTCTTTGCGCTGTTGGAAAAGAAACACATATGTTGCGGTACAGTGTCTCAATGCTTATCGGCAATTTTTTACAAGCGTAGCTTGAGTAAAGGTGAAGTGTGTGGTATGTGCATTTTATATAAAATAAATCGGTTTCTGTACTCAATAATGTTTTCAGCCTGCCCAAGTCTCTAGCCTAACATTGACTCCATCAGTTGCCAAACCAATTAGGTTTCTTATTTTTAAAGGCAGCATTGGCAAATATTTAAAAGTACAAGTGCCAAATATTTATATGCAAAATGATGCTTGAAATATAATTTTTATAATTAAGAACTTAAAAACTTAATTTAACCATCCGACCAAAATCTTACTTTAACTACCAAGCTACCAAATAAAAAAGAAGCGACCAAATTTGGCGGGAAAAGACCAAAAGTGGCAACACTGCCACTGTCGGAAAATTCAGACTCCACGACGAAAAGTCCGATAACGGACTGAGGCTGGTCGACTTCGCCTGGGCCCGAATCAGAATTGGAAAGGACCTCTCCGAGCCGTTTGAATCCAAACGAGTTTTCAGACAAGGTGACTCCCTTTCGTGTGATTTTTTTAACCCGATGTTGGACAAGATAATAAGAGCCGCAGAACTGAACCGCTCAGGCACAATACTTTAAAAGAGCGCACGATTGCTGGAGAATGCCATCGACATCGATATTATTGGTAAAAACAAGGGCAACGTCTGTTCTGCCTTCTCGGGATTGGATCGAGAAGCAAAGCGAATGGGTCTGGTGCTGAACGAGGACAAAACGAAGTATCTCCTGTCATCACACAAACAGTCAGAGCATACGCGTCTTGGCCCACACGTCACTGTTGACAGGTACAAGTTTGAAAAAGTAGACGACTTCGTTTATTTGGGAACCAGCATTAACACCAATAATAGTGTCAGCCTTGAAATCTAAAGGAGAATCACTCTTGCCTACAGTTGCTACTTTAGACTGAGTAGGTAATTGAGAAGTAGGTCCTCTCTCGTCGTTCAAAGATCACACTCTACAAGTCACTCATCATGCCTCTATGCCTCTGCTGGGTTTTGGCGCGGAGACATGGACAACGAAAACATCTGATGAAGCACCCCTTGGAGTTTTCGAGAGAAAGATTCTGCGCATTGGCGCTGGCGAATACCGCAGACGGTTTAACGATGATCCGTATGAGCTTTACAACGATATAGACATAGTGCAGCGAATTAAAATTCAGCGGCTCCTTTGGCTTGGCCATGTCGTTCGAATAGACAGAAATGCTCCTGCTCTGAATGTATTCAACCCGGGCCGCGATGCTGGCAACAGAGGAAGAGGAAGGCCTCCTCTGTGTTGGAAAGACCAGGGGGAGAAAGACTTGGCTTCACTTGGCAAATCCAATTGGCGTCAGTTAGCACAGAAGAGAAATGACTGGCGTGCTGTTTTGGAGTCCGCCAAAATCGCTTAGGCGGTTACAGCGCCAATAAAAAAGAAGGAGTCACATTACCTTACGGTGTGTATAGCCGTCATCTTAATTGGCATCTGGTAATATTTACAAGACAACGTAAAATAACGGTCGCTTTCGAGGAAACCTAAGCTTTAGGCGTTAACGTAGCACAGCTGATTGCACCCTCGAAATGAGGAGACAGCGCATACATGTCCGTGACTTGTACTGTTTTGGATCTCAGCAACAAAAAACCGATTTTGGACTTGAACGGTTGTCGAACCCACCGACTCAATTTTCTTATTATGAGACATAATTCCTTACATAACGTCAAAGCAGCTTTTTATTCATGCTTACATAGATTAATTTTTTAAATTTATGTATTTAGTTGATGATGTTCTACCAGCAAACAAAGGATATGTTTTTGCATATCAAAAACTTAATTATTTCTTATTCTTTTTTCGTGTGTATGAGTGTTTGAGAATGTTTTTATCTCTTACCTGACTGTTATTATTTGTAGGTGCAATGCCACTAATTTTTCTGCTATTATTACTTATGGAACTGACGCCACTGTTGTTATTGTTGTCGCTACTATTGTTATTCTGCTGTTGCTGATAATGGTTGTGATTCTGGTGAAGATTGCTGGCTGCGTATTCCATTTGATCCGCGCAAAAATTAGTTATTCCCGTCGTCGGATTGATTTTTGATGCCACAGCGCTGATACTGGTGCTTTTGAGCGCCGTTAAATCTTGTTGTTGCTGCTGCTGTTGCTGGATGTGCTGCTGATGATGATACTGTTGTTGTTGCTGCAGGTGGGAAGGTGATTGTTGATGTTGTTGTTGCAATGGGTATGGATCGAATAATGTTTGCAAATCGAAATAATTTGGCTGCTGCTGATGTGAGAGCAGCGAAAGCGCCATTCGGTATTGTAGGTATCCTAAGGATATCAACTCACGCACGCACACTCGTAGAAAAACTGTTAATTTAAGACGAGATTTTCAAATCGGACTAACGTGATATATCGATAAAAACCCAGAAGATATATATTTCCGCTTAGTTACGTTGTTGTTATTTCTTTCCGACGCGACAAAAAACTGAATTGCTTGGTAGCAGCTAGGAGGGTCAACTTCTGACGAGCGACGTCACTGCTTATAGACTCAAAATGATAACTGCTTTGAGATTTTTTAATCACACATATCTTAAAATAATTATGGCTATTTTGTTTTGCTTTAATATGGCAATTTCGAGGTACACTTTCAGAGAAATTACTTGCTTTTACTAACAACCAAATTTAATTTTGCGTCCCTCTTTTTTATTTCATTTTTATTTATTTTTTATTTTTTTTGTGTTTTTTTGATTATTTTTTTTTAACAGTAAATATGTGCATATAACTTTGTAACACAAACTAGTAACAAACTTGCTATGTTGGCTAAATATTTTATTTTGACACTGAATGCTGTTTGACTAAAACAGTTTAAGGTATTTTCGGCTAGATTGTTTAAAATAATACGAAAAAGGAATTGTATAGCTCCTTTATTCCAGTGGTTTCGCGTTGTCGATGGCTTCGCAGTAGGGTATTCTCGATTTTCAGCAGCATTTTGTTTATCAGATACATGTAACTCACTTGGTGCTCATTGGTATGGAATCGGAGTTCTTTGTGATTAGACTTCTCCATTTATTTATATGCAAGTTTGTTTTATCACAATTGCTGGATTCAAAAACGGTGTCTTTCGGTATATTGAACTGGTAGTTTTCGCAATGTTGTTTCTAGCGTAGGCGTTACAGCAATTTAACACTGTAATTAGACGGCAATAAGGCGCTATTCGCGTCTAGTCAAATGCTTGAAAACATGACGGCGCATTGACTTATCTCGCATGGGACGACTAAAAAACACCGAATAAACGAGTTTAATACGTTTTATTTAGTTATTAAAACTTTTGTCTGTATTATTCTTTAAGATCTATGTATGTATGTATGTATTTATTAAAATATTTTTTTTATATTTAACAAATTTCAAGTTAATTGTACGATCACTTGTGAAAATTGATACACGAACTGTATTCTCCGAACAAGTGGTATGGAAAATATTTCCAACTCGCGCAACGCTCGTTTACTTTCTGACTTGAGTTTTTGGCTTTGTTAATAATTCAACACTATACACATAGTCGCTCGCGTAATCTTTGCACTGCTAGTGTGTGTTTAACTTTTTGGCTTTGTATTTTGTATTCAACTTTGTATTTGTTAATTTGATAAAGTTTACTTCAATACACTTATGTTGTTTACTCTGCGGTAATTTTTGTTGTAACTGTTGCTGTCGCGCAACTGTTATTGCTGTTGTTTTGTTGACGTTGTCGTTGTGAGCACGCCCAGTTAGTAAGAACGTGATTTTAATGGCGATTTAGTTAGATTCTGTAACTATTTTTATGTATTCGCACACTTAACGATTTTACAATTGTTGATTTTTCGTCAAAGTTTTAATCAGATGGGCTGACATACAGCAATTGCTTATCTGATTGTGTGTATGTTTGTAAATATGTTTACTATCAGCGTGATTGGGCAGGTATGTAGGTAACAATGTCCTGCTATTTACGCCTGAAATGAAAAAGTAGCATCAAATTGATAGTACGAGTGCTAATTACACAAAAAAAATCTGCATTAACACAAACTTATGTATACATATATGTACATACTTATACTTATATGTACTAGTAAAAGTTCTATTAAAATTCTCGCACAAAAAATCGGTTTAATCGTCACGTCACTTGATATTTTTTAGGCACATTTGCCGCTTGCGTATATACATACATATGCACATATCTATGTGGTCTTTAGATAACTGTTGTGAGCAATGAAAATCGACAGTATACGCGGCACGGAACTATTAAGACACGTTAACAGAGCAATTTTAATACAACGAAGCAATGCTTCGCACAGCGAATTGACGCCAACATTTTAGTAGAACCCTTTGGCTGAATCCAACCACCACCGCCACCGCGCGTCGTTCGTACACGAGGTCAAAATAAAAATGAATAGGGAAAAGTTTTGTTGCTTGCGGGAAACTGTAGATCCGAATCCGATCAATCGGAACAACGATAGTGCTGATTCTGGCCTTGTTTGTGTCTCCGGTTACGGGCCCAGCTTTAGCTACGATTCAGATACGGACTCCGATAGATCTACTGGCAGCGCTCGCTCGATACTCACTACAAGCACAAATTAACTGAAAACGAGAACGGAATCAAAAACTACTGGTGGCTGCGATACGTATGGATGTATTTCATTATTATCCGTGTTTGTAAATAAATGTACATACTTATCACAGCGCTGGCTTGATTTTGTCAGTACCAGAGAGGTGTGCACACACAAAGAATATTTAATAATAAAGCAAGTGGTTGGGTACTGACAGAATTCAGTAACTTATTTTTGAAAACATGTATATATGTATATGAACATACATATGTATGTAGATGAGTGCTATTTTAGCAACGTAAAAGATTGTAGGCTACGACTGTATAGGTGAGAACACATTGTAAGGTAATAGAGATCGAGATCGAGAGAAATAGTAACTTTTGTTTGCAAGTTGAGCTGTAAGTGTGTGGGACTTTTTTATTAGTATGGCTTTATGAGCTTCGCCAATCATATATGTATTTACATATGAACCCACTAGAACTTGAAGGGAGATCTCCCTAAGTGAGGAATAAAAGAGTACTCGGTTATTAACTCCTTTATTATCGCTTGGAGTCAATAGGGTGATCTCCTAAGCGAGCGATTAAAGAAAGCTCCCTGAGGCATGATTTGGGAGCAATAAGCGAAATTTGTCGGTTTTGCACTCCTGTATTACCTACGCGCTTAGGAGCATAATGGGAGATCTCCCAAGTGAGCAGTAAAAGAATCCTTCCGGAGACATGATTTCGGATGTTTAAGATTTGTGATTTGTCGGTTTTGTACTCCTTTATTACTCGTTTAGGAGTTAATAGGGTGATCTCCTAAGCGAGCCATTAAAGAAAGCTCCCTGAGACATGATTTGGGAGCAATAAGCGAGATTTGTCGGTTTTACCTACTCGCTTAGGAGCATAATGGGAGATCTCCCAAGTGAGCAATAAAAGAATCCTCCCAGAGGCATGATTTCGGATGTTTAAGATTTGAGATTTGTCGGTTTTGTACTGCGTTATTACCCGCTTAGGTGCAAAAAGCGATGAGCAATCCAGGAGTATTCCCTTTGATTGATACGCACCTGTGTTTTTGGAAAATGTAGTATGAAGAAAGCAAGATAGATAACTGATGTGTACATACATACATTCTTACATGCGTAAATAAAATCAGGAAACAATCAAATAAATTGGACAGCAAATCCTTAGGGCCGCTGGTATGTCTGACAACATTTGTTTATACTTATAAATGATTGTATTATTTAACTCAAAATATGGCTGACTTCCAAACCGTTGCATACGTACAAAGTATAATGTCCCATAACGCCGCCGAACTAAAAAATATTGACAATGTATACCTTTCCAAAACGCATTCGAAAAGTTATCGTAACGCATCGCTAGAGCAATCAGCGCATCAGAAACAAAGTTGATGCCAAGGCGTATTCAATAAGTTGGTATCGGTACGACAATAACAAAATGTACATGTATTTTGCTTTTGCGGCGAGGACTGTCAAAAATTTCATACGAAAGATGTGAAGGAGAACAGAAAACAATAAACAATCAGCTGCTCCAACCAATCAACAGCACCCATTTGACATATGAAGCCGTGAGGCGAAGAAAAATAAAAGGGTACTGCTATCACCTATTGAATACTCCTTGGTTGATGCTTCGTTTGTTTCTGGTTACCATTGGTGTTTTGAAAATGGAAAATTCTGAAAAATTGTTCATTGCTAAATTGAATATTTAATAAAATATGCAATGTATAAGATTGCAATGTGTCGCAACTCTGTATTAACAAACAGTTTGAATACCGCAGTATAACAGTTTCCAAACATTGTATTGATACGTTTTGGATGTCAGCCTATATTTCAGATTTCGGGGCCGGCGTCTAAGTTCTATCGTTGCCAATCTTGCCCTGTCCAGAACTTTTACTGGGTCTTGCCGGAAATTTTTTAAGGCGTGAATCGTTTTGCTGCGCTCCCAGGTGAATATAAGTCAAATAATTTTTCCAGGAAAGCATCCTCGCCACACAAATCTTGTGGATCATATAAAAGGATGTTTATACATATGTATGGACATATATATAATGTTTGAATTTGTTATTACTGATCGATATTTGTACTCCAATTTTAGTTAGTATTTAATGTAATAAGTATTATTTGTGTTTTTTTCAGTTTTTGTAATAATCAGATTAAATATTAGGGGTATTCTCCAAATCTTGCAAACCTATTGCAAGTAGCACGGATTGATGCAACGTCGAAACCTATGTATATATTTTGCAAAATAGCATAGCAAGATAAATGCGACCCTGTGCTAGTTGTTTTGTTGTTGGAATAGCTACATATTTCTATTTCTATTTCTATTTCTATTTTTTATTGCTGTCTCTTGTTATTGTATTTAATACATAATTTCGCTGCTTGCTACCCATGCATGCTTCCTCTTTGCAATGGGGTGCTCTCGTACTCTTCGAAATTGGGAATAGTATTTTTGCATTTCGCGCAATCCGTGCTTCGTACAAGACTTCGAGAATACCCCTATTGTATTAATGTGCATATGTATGTACATATATATGTACATATGTATATCTTCTATATATATAAAATAACACAGGCCAACAAAAATGAGAAAAAATGTTGGTGCGACAAATGTTAAAGCTATTTTTGATAGACTTTTTTGTGCTGATTACGAATCCGTAAGTACAAAGGATCCAACACGTACAGGTTTTGAGAAAATCGTGGTCAACGTGTCAAAAAATCGGGCTTTTGCAATATTTGAGAAGCTCTAGCAAAGAGTAAAAAGGTGATAGAACCTTCCACTTAGGATTAGATTAAAGCAAGAACCATCGACTACTATCTTTGAAAATACCATTCCTGCACATTGAATTTATGGTCACTTATAGTCATTTATTGAGCAGTAAAATTTGACTTTTGGCGAAGTTTGAGTCCCTGCCGCAATTAAACAAAAGGTGATAGAACCTGCCACTTAAGCTTAAATTAAGGCTTGAACTTTCGACTACAATCCCAAAAAAACCATCTCTTGGTCTTGACCCTAAGATCACTTATAGTCGTTTATTGAACAGCAAAAACAGATTTTGGCAGCATTTTTTTTTTCAATAGCACAATTTGCCAGCATTTTTTTTATTGTTCAACAAATGACTATAAATGGCCATCAAGTAAAGGTGCAGGGATGGTATTTTCAGGGGCAGTAGCCTAGGGCTCTAGATTTAAGTTAAGCCTAAGTGGAAGGTTCTACCACATTTTTACTCTTTGCTCGAGCTTCTCAAATATTGAAAAAAAAACCGATTTTTTGACACTTTGACCACGATTTTCTCAAAATCTGTACGTGATGGAATCTTTATAATTACGGATTCGTAATCAGCTCAAAAAAGTCTATCAAAAACAGATTTAACATTTGCCGCACCAAAATCAGTGTTGCCCTGTGTAATAGCCGTTTTCGTTGTTCGGACTTAACTCAAAAACTACTGCATAGATTTCAGTCAAATTTTCAGAGGTTATACCTTGCGTATATGGTCCTATTATAGGCTACCAGAAAACTCGCTAGGTGGCGCTGGGGTTGAGCTATTTATAAAAGTCGTATTTATGAACCGATTCCGTTAAATTTAAAGCGTGTGCTACCTCCATGATGAGAAATACGTATGCGAAAAATAGACCCGCTAGGTGGCGCTGGAGTCGAGTTATTTATAAAAATCTTATTTATGAACTGAGTTTTTTTAAATTCAAAATGTAAGCTACCAGCATGATGGAAAATAAGTTTACCAAAAATAGACCCGCTAGGTGGCGCGGGAGTCCAGTTATTTATAAAAGCCGTATTTTTGAACCGATTTCGTTGAAATTCAGAGTATAAGCTACCAGCATGATGAAAAAAGCATTTGCGAAAAACGGACCCGATACAAGCCCAATTTATGAACCGATTTTGTTAATGCGAATTCGAAACGTTTATTACTTTCATGATGATTTTATTTTTTTTCATTCTAAACATATATGTATGTACATACATACATAAAATGGTAGCCGTTTTCGTTGTTCGGACTAAACTCAAAAACCAGTAAAATTTCCGGAGGTTATACCTTGCATATATTCCTATTATAGCCCATTAGACAACACGCTGGTGTCTCTGGAGTAGGGTTACTTATAAAAGTCGTATTTATTAACCGATTTCGTTCGAAATTCGCAAAGTGAGCTATCTGTTTGATGAAAAATTCATTTCCTAAACATGAACTATATTTTATAAAATCTGATTGAAATTCATAATGCGTATTCATTTTATGACAAGCAGTGGTTTTGCAGAAAAGGGACCTAATGGATTGCAGCCGAAATATATAGAAACCCGCACGGGGTTTGAACTGCTTTGGCCCTATATTCATCTTAGACGAATTTACTTTTCATATGGCTAAATGGTGGACTCGTTTAAGTATGCGTGTAAACACCGCAACATTGTAAGCGCACCTTTGTCTGATGAACTCATACACCCTAAATGCGATTTTGCACCTACCTCCGATTGACAAAATTTCTCGGGGCGGCCGTTAGTACAGCAGTAAGACTCAAAGAAACCAGTTCATAAATATTAAGGAAAATTGTAAATAGACAATAAAATATTCGACCACATCCGTTAAAGAAGGAACACGGAAGGTATATCAATGGCTTCATTTGAATGATATTTAAGAGATCACAGCACTCATTTAGTCAATGTATGGGAAAACTTTTCATCCTGTGGGGGCGGGGCAGGATTCTTGGCCTTCCTATAATTGAAAACGCTCATCTGTGCTCTTTAGTTTCCTTATAAGGACTTTTATTGGCTTACATGTTACATCGGACTAATGTTAAAGAATATTACGCACGCTTGGTAGAGATCTCACAGGTGGAAATAAGACCATCGGTAAAACTTATGACATCGAAAGGGATTAGTATTCCATATGGTATCACAGAGCTACTATTCTTGGCCTATGTATGAGGAGGATTCTGCTCTTTATTCGTTTCAATTTAAACTAAAAATGTTTACTTTACAGACCGCTTTTGCTTTTAAACGCTATTTTTGTATTGGCGAGCGCAAAAGATCTTAATAGGCGCAGCCTAATGTTTATTATCGCTCATCTGCTCGTCGAATGTGTGCAA